TACCATCAAGCCTTGAAACTGACTTCCAGCTAATGACCCAAATAATCTTTACTTGAAATTGTATAATTGAGATCGAAGGCTGTCTGGGGCTTCCAGCCTGGTACACAGATTCCACATCCATGAGCTTTTGAGTATGGTCATTGAGCTGAAATGGAGAAGGTTAAAACTCTCATTTTCATTACCAAGCTCCCCCCATCTCCCAATACAAATGTGACATTTCAATTTTACACAGTCCAACTCTTCTTAAATCATCTGTATAAAAACTTCAGATCTTGATTGATGATGGATGAGCTATTGTCTCCTAAAGCACCCAGTTCTCATTACCCTTTAAGACATAGCTTATTAGTGATGGACCTGAAGTGCTTCCCAGTGGGTCATCACCAATCAACTGTGCTAAGAGATCAAAAGACTTGGTTTGGCATGAAATTTCCAGGCCAAAGCCATTTTCAGATAATGCATTCAACATCTTGGGTGAAATATGACAGTGTTTTGAGAGTGATATGGTATCTGACAACAGATCCCCATCACCTGGGTGACGATGGCGAAGACGCGGCACTGTCAGCATACAAAGATGCTTCAGCTCTAATGGAGGCTGACCTTGAAAACGAAGGTACCATCAACATGCATTGTGTAATATGTATGTGCAGAGTATAGCTGTATATGGTGTGGTGTAAAAGACAGCTGTTTCCTTAGCAGACAATCAGCTTGGAAGGTCTAAGATATCTTCTGTTTTGCTTTTGAAGTGTTTGCAGTGGCCATGACCAACAGTTTTTCCTAATTAACTCCTCCTTTCTCTGCCCACTTCAGAGCTAGTTCTTTTCCCTCTCACTATGCCACCTCCCATCATGCCAGATGGCTTCAGAGCACCAGAGAAGAGCTTTTAATTTGCAACCTTGAGTAGGAATGGCAATTTTATTAGCATTTTAGAACCAGATTCTACTGCTGAATAGGTGCCTACAGCCCCCACAGCACGTCAACGCACATGAGTTACGTGCACTTCAGGATAAGTTGTGAACGTAAACATGTTTTGCCAATTTAATCCACGTTAGAAATTAGCTAACAGACCGTGAGGGATTACACTGTACACATGAAAAAGTCATCTGAAGAAAATGCCCTTTTAACAGATGGATGAAGAAGAGTTCTTTCTGTCTGTGGTCTAAACAGACACAACACGCTTGCAGAACTAGTGTCCCTTTGCCTTGTTTACAGTGATCTTAAGCTTCTGGTGGCTGGTGATGCGTCTTCAATGAGTCCAGTCAAGCTCATTCTATTATAATAGATGTTATGAATTTAGCCCTTTTTTGAACATAGCAGACTAAGTATAAATTATGCGTGGTGTATCTGTCTGTGTTCCATGGCACTTTATGGAAAGTGGAAGATACTTGTGTTTCATCCTTGCTAGAGACCTGTATGTTTCTGTTTCTCCTGTTGGTATTGTAAGAATTATATGGTAGGTTACCAAAGTAATGTGGGAATGTCTACCAAGTTATGTGGTAATGGTTCTGCTTCATCACTGGGCTAATGGAAGTGAGGAAACAGCAGATATTATGGATAATACATTTCTGATTTAGCTTCCTGAATAGATAACCATTTCATAGAATTTTAAGAATATGCAGATAAAAGATTCCGCACAATCATTTGGCAGCAATAAGCAAAATAATGACAGAAGTCAGTGGCGAGTGCACTTGCTGATTTCTTTTCATATAACTTTGGTTACAGACTTATACTGCTTTTAAGACAGTAAATAGCTCTAATAAGGAAGATGATAAGATTTTGCATTCACTTCAAAATCAAGTGGCAAAAGATCTTGGAGCTACATCTTTGCTCAGAGGAGCTGCAGCCCTTGTGCTAAAATGGGAGATTGTTGTAGTCTTAAGTGTGGCCATCAGTACCTTATAGGAAGGTATCCAAAATTGTCTTGACGCCTTTTGGAACTCTTTTCCCAGTGAAAGCTAATGGGACGTGTGCTTCAAAGTCCCCTTTTGTAACTGTGTCCCTGAGCAGTGTAGAAGTCCAAGGGGGACGTTTGCTGCCAGCCTGGCACGGTAGGTGTTCCAGGCAGGAGTTGGTAGAGATGAGTTCTCTGCCTCCTGTCCCAGGCTGCAGTCCTGTACTTGGGCTAACGATTTTCCAGTGTCACAAAAAATTGTTTTAGAAGACAAAAATACTCTCCCCAAAATGGTATTTAAAATACGTTCCACCATGAGCAGTCCTTTTTAGCGCTTCTTTGCAGGAACTAGCTTCTTTCTTTGCAGCAGAAATCACAAAATTCGGGAGGGGACTTGGCATTCTCTTTCCTGCTCCAGCCTCAGAAAGAGTTCAACAAAGAGGCACCTCAGGTGTTGCTCACCAGAGAAGAAATCTCTTTTTGCCTGGTTTCCTTTGCTAGCTGCTCTGCACAGGCAGAGTTGCCTGCCTTTCTCCTCCTCTTTATTGTTTAACTTTATCTCTCACTTCCAGTGCTGTAAATTAAAATGAGATGATGACTTTATGATGATGAGTTCATTATACACTAACTCTATTGTATGTTGATTACATTTGTGCTTCATTTGCTTAACATGTAACAGGGTTTATTCGGTCTTTCCAGGCATTGTTCTTGCTAAGAGAGGGCAGGGAAGTGAAAAATGCATTTGAATTTAAGTCAGTGAAGCCAATGCATCTGTGCTGATTTACACATGCCGAGGACTCAGCATAAAGAAAAGTAGCATAGCAGCTTGGAATGGGCAGGGAGAAAGGGAATGAATTTGGGTCCCACAGAGCAGGAAGAGTCAAGCACAGGTCCTTTAAAGATTGTACTAAACTTTGAACTCAGAGTTATTTAATATCTGTAAGAGCCCATCTGTGATATGGTTTGATATGGTAATAAACCTAAACTCAGATTTATTAACGTCTCACCTCATGAATAGACCTGTAAACTTTAATCCTGTCACCTGTGAAAAATGGTACAGTGCAGGGCAAATAAAGATACTGCGTCACATTTTTGGGAAAGGGCAGCAGGTACAATGCTTGTTATTCAGCGATGAGGGAAGTCAGAGCATTTCCCACGTTTGCTTTTAGTAAATTACAGGGAAAGCTGTCAGCTTTCCTTGTAGTACAGAGAGGACACTTTCTGGTAACTTTTATGCTGAAAAAAATCTTTCTTCACAAATTGAAACTATTAGAATTACCTTTAGAGTGCGATGCTGCCTGATATAGAAGAATGCATCAAAGTTCCTAGCAGAAAAGAAAATTTGATAGGTATTGTCATGAGCGAATGCTCTAAAAACCAGAAGTTCTGCCAGTGGCAGGTGTTCAGATGTACCCACTGAGAGTGACACTATTCTATATCGTGTGTGTGTGTGTTTAAGGAGCTATGAATGTAGATTTTACAGATTTTGATGGTTTATTAGATGTTATTTTTAATCAAAATCCTGGGCCATAATGGATTAGGTAATCCTGTATAGCTGGGACAACACAGAGAAATCATCACTAGTCATTTTTTCAAGTGTTCTTCTAAGTCCCATTTTTCTCCAGAACAGAATTGCTAACAGATGCTGTATGTTTTTTTCCAGGGATCATAAGAATATCATACAGACAGATCATTGCTATATCTCTAATCTGGGCTCTTTTCTGTATAAGATTATTATTATTGTTTTCATTTTTAAGCTCCTTTTCAATGAAAAGCCAAGCTTTTAAACCCAAGGTTTCTAAGAAATAGTAATACTCTGAACTTATTGATACGGTGGAAGGATGTACTTACAGATGATCCTTTATTTAATATGTTCTGTTCTTGAGGGCTACCTCCTCTACATACTGTGGCCTGTAAACCCTGAAATTGAAATAAAAAATTGCAGTAATTACTTCCTAGTTGTTTGTCAACATGAACATTCCCACTAAAGCTTTTAAAGGTTTTCTGGGGAGATGAGGGCTATCAGCCGACCTTAATCACTGCTACCGTAGTCAAGATTTAATGTCTCTGTGAGAAGTGTGACACTCCTGGCTGCATAGCACCACTTAATGTCATTCCAAGGTGCCATTAGTAACTAACCTTCAACATTTCTTTGCTGAGGCTTGAATCTGTGACACTAAGCAGCACAGAGGTTTTAACTGCGTAACTCCTCTTAAATGTAATGAAAGTCACGTGGATTGTCCTCTGCTTTGGGTACATGAGAGCCAGGTTAAGTAGAGAAATTGTGAATTTGAAGAAGAGTTTAGAGGGTAAAAAAGTCAAGTTATTGCTCTGGAGGAAACCTTGGTGGTACAACCAACAGCTGTAAGATCATTTTCATGTTGAGATTTGACAAATCAATTCTCAGAGACAGGGCAACAAGCCATATTTTTTAAACAAGCTGATATAAACATGAAAATACAAACTACCAACTTTGATCTGCTCAGAAACCATCTCCTTTTGACACAAAGCTTGCAACAAGGCACATCAACAGTAGTTTTGAATCATAGTAGTTGAGATTTGGATCATATATAGTATTTGATTATTTTGGATTATGCTATTGCAGAAGCACTGTGCGGTCAGAAAACATGCTTTTTAGACATTGCGATGACTGGACTCTTCTCTTGTCCTGTGAGCTCAGGAACTTCCTCCCCCAGCTGAGCCTGTTAGTTTATTGCATGTTTTAGGTGTTTATATGTATTAATGAAATACAGCATAATGTGGTTGATTGCTTGTGTTTCTAAAATCAGTTTAGTCCTGAAGGTTTTTCTACCCATAAATAACAGTACTGTTCCATACCTGATGAGACTGGAACAACAGGTAAACCCAGTAATCACTCAGCAACTGTGTGGCTGTCTTCATCAGGTTTCTTATGCATATAAATACATGGTTCCTGTTGACAAATACTAGAAGCTACTTGCCCTCCAGTTTTCAGAGTATTAAGAGAGATTACAGTGAGAAATTTTTGCATTTAAATTTCATGCCCTCTCTCTTCAGTGCACAAAGCAGCAATAGATTTAATCAACTGTATGTCTAAATTCTTACAAGTATGTTCTCATGTTCTTTTATGCAGAAATACTGAATGGAGGCGTGTACGTTGGCCAGAACAAATTTCTTTGCTTCGCGGACACCATTCATTGGCAGGACATCGTGCGTAACCCTTGGGCCTCCAACTTCACTTTGGTTCCAACGAATGGCAGCTCAGGATGTAAGTACCAGTTTTATTCTTAGCCTTGTCATCTGCTCAGCATAAAACAGTATAAATATGGCCACAAGTTTTCCCTGATCCTCTGTTACAGAGAATTGTATTTTTAAATTTTTCCTGCATTCTTCATTGCATTCTTCAAAGTTTGTAGACTGCTTGTAGTAACATTGGGTCTAATCTTAAAAACGCTTTGTCTGTAGAGAGTATTTGAGAAAATCAGACATTTTCTGAAATGTCTCTCTTCTTTTTTCTCTCTTCTGTGTATTCTTTTTTCTATTTATCGCTAAAGACACTGTGCTGCCATGGAGGCACAGACGTTATTGTTTGCTTTGCATTTGTTCCTGCTGCTGTTCCAGGCTGGTCCTTGAGTCACTATGGTCTGTCTATGGCATCATAATTAGCTGCTGGAGTAATTAGGGTACAAGCTCATGGATATTCTAACTTTAGATGAGAAGTGAACTTCAAAGAAATAGTTACCCTGTTGTCTTGTGTGTATCTGTGAAGAAAGAGAGAGAATTTGCCGAGAATGGGATGTTCTTCACAATATAATCAATATTCCACTGGTTTTAATATGTTCTCTCTGTTTTAATGAAATCTCAATTTCAAACTTGGAGTATCTGTGTACATTGATTAATTTGTTTGATCCATTTCTCTATTTCCCTTCCCTAGAGTTACTCACTTTCGGTAGTAGATTCTTGCAGCAATAATGAACTCTAGTGAATGGTGGTGAGTGATACGAAGTGTTTAGGTAAAATATTCTACAATATAGTAAAGTGCATTCAAAATTAATACCCTGCTATTAAACAGTACCCTCAGGATGTATCAACATGGAAATTTGGGCATAGGCTGGGAAGAAGTTTATGTCAGATGTCAGAAGTGGCACTGCAGCAGACATATTTTTCTGAGCATTCTGGATATAGGGACATTCTGCATTGCTTACCATATCCTAAGGAGTCCCTCAAGGATGTGTAAATGACTGATTGTCTCTCTAGCTTCCACTGCAGTCATGAAACAACTTCAGTTCTTCAGTTGTATGTTAGGAATTCAGGAAAAAAAAAATATCAGATGCTGGGACCATTTGTTGAGTCCCCATAATTTCTAAGCAGCAACTTGCTTTTAACCAACTGCTTTGTGGAATAATGGATTTTATTTAAGGTTGACTTGCTTTTGTATGTCTCTCCTGCTACCCTCAAAAGCAGAGGACAATTACTTGAGAAACAGCTTCCTCCGGGAGCCTGCCAAACTCCACTGCTCCTCTGTCTTCCAGCCCTAGAGATGAGGCTCGTCTCTTCTGCCTTCTGGCTGGAAACCTGACATAGTTGTAATGCAGCCAGCTATCTTATTTGCATATTAAAAAACCTCATCGTTGGTGATGATCAGTTCTGAGCAGAACTGATAAAACCTTTGAAAGTTAGGGAATGCCCGTACCCTTTTATGAGTCATTGCTTCAACAAGAAAAAGAGTTGGTTGTTACTGTGTTCTGTTCCTGGGTTTTCTTTTAACCTTTGCCAGTTCTTCAAGACAAATGCTTCTGCAACACCAAGGTAATAAACTTCTTTGAAAAAGCAACCAACATCAATACTATGTTTTTGAGCTAACAAAAGTTTGAGTGGCGACTCCAGAGGAATCGGAACAAGATCAGTGCTGAGTACTTTTTGAGTCACACCCTGAAAGTAATAAAGGCAAATATTAGCTCCCATAGCAAGATGAAAGAATGTATGTACCTAAATCCAGTTTTCCTAAAATATTTTTTCATTCCTGGTGAGTTGTTTTGAAACATAGGGAATGAACAACTTGTGCTTTGCCATTTGTGCTTGATAAACCTGATAAGCAGAATTATTTCAATGATGATTTAGAGTTATGTACCAAGGCAGCTTCATTAAGATAGCCACCCAAATTTTGCTTCATTTTGCCTTACTTGGGCTGGAGCCGAGCACCGTTGGACTGTATTTAATTTAACAAACAGAAGCCTCCCTCTCCAAGAAACTGGATTCCATCTCGATACTACTCATAAGTCCTGTGAAATTTGATTAAATTAGCTAATCCAAACCATTTCTGTCTTCACAATTTACATAGGTGAAAATCTAAACGCCCTTATGCAGTAAGACAACAAATGGCTAAAGTGGTTTAACAAAGGTGTTAAGGCTTTGGGAAACAAAGAATTCAGGTACAGAATTCACCATTTAAAATAGACTGAAATTAAATAGCTGTCTCTGTGTGCATGCATGTATTACACACACACAGGGGGCTGTGTGTATGTGTGTATAATATATATATATATGTATAAAGCCTTTAAATGGGATCACTCAAATGTGAACCTTATTACTACCTGTCAAGAGGTAGGAGAAAGGGAATGTGCTACACTGGTAGTCTAAGAAAGAATTAAGACAGGTTTTTTGTGCTGGTGCAGAAAGAACTTGCAGAAATGAACATTGAATTATAAACCTAGAATGGAAATCAGTGTAGAGTATCATTAAATAAGGTAAATACTTCTCAAATTTGGCTCACATGTCACTTTTCATGATCTGCTAGGTGCTGTGGGTGCTTGCTGGGCCCAGCTTTGCTATTTTTCCACTGTTGCAAATGATAGTCAGTGCATTTCAAAGTCTTTGGTACTTTTCTGCATAGACTGTGACTCATGCTTTTTTAGATCCAGCATGTATATGTATTTACTGTTTATTTTACATGACTGTATTAAATTGCCTGAAGTGTCAGGTGCCTCCTATCAAATGCAAATCTCAGTGAAGTCCATTGGAACTAAGTACCCGTTGCTTGGCATTACCGAGAATATCCTAAGTGCAAGAGATGTCAAGGAAAGCCCTCTGGGACTTTCCGTGTCAGAATATCTTGAAAAGAATGAGTGGGTTTTACTGCTCATCTAAAAACCTTTACAGGAGAGGGAGAAGGTCTGTCAGAGAGGCTGCATCAGTCTGGGAATGTAAACCAACCAAACATTCTGTATCAAGCTTAACAAAGTCCATACTAGTAGTAATTTGGGAAAGTGTGTGTAAATATGTGATCATGTCAGACCTGGGTTGATGCATTGGCCTATGTGCCATGTTTAGCCATGACTGGAAGGACTGGAGGGTAACTTATGCCCCAGGAATTGTTTTAAGCCGTTTCACTGAGTTTCCTCAGTAGTGCTCCCTGGCAGAGAATATTTTGGGTTCAAAAGATTGCAAACTGTCATGAGCGTCAGATCTATTTCATCGTTCTAGCAGGGCCTAAAGCCTAAACTACAGTTTGGTGTTTTGGCATCACTAACATTGTTTTTAGCTGTCATAAAATCCCCCCAAGGTGTCTACATGTCCAAAAGACCAAGGGCCCACCTTCAGAGAGGAGCCCAACGCTTCCTGGGTTTTCTCCAACCCCAGAGTGGACTCCACCAGGTTGATATAAATGCCCTGTGGTACTGGGAGCACCTGGGCATCAGCGTGTGTGTGTGCGCTCAGGGCTCAGCCCTGCTCCTTCTTCCTCTTCCCCTGTGAGGGAGCCGATGGTTCTGCTCTCAGTGTGTGTGTGCTCAGGGCTCAGCCCTGCTCCTTTTTCCTCTTCCCCTGTGAGGGAGCCGATGGTTCTGCTCTCTTCCCCAGCCAGACAGAAGAGCTAATAATGGTCCCACTTCAGGGATAATTTCACTTGCAACCTTCCCTGCTGCTCCAAGGCAATCAGCGGAGGAGGAAGACAAAAGGGCGGAGTGAAATGAAGACGCTTTGAAATAAAATCAGTCCCCTGCCTCTGTGCTTGTTTCATACCTTGGATCTGCCAACTCTGGCAATCCCCTTCATTTACATCAGCGCTAGACAGAAGAGAATATGGGCAGTGAACTCTGGGAATAAAGCTTTTCTGATGCCCTTCTTTGCAGGCTTTCATTGTTACATTAGTGTTAAGAAGCCAGTTGAAAAAGCCATGGCATCTTAACTGCTATGATAGAAATATTGCAGACATGTGAATCCTAAGTGCTGCTTCTCCTTTTTTTCTGTAGCCTGAAATGCATTCTACCCGTTGCTTCATGTTCCCATCAAATGCATGCAGAAGAGTTCCTGTTAGAGGCATTTGAATTACACAGTCTTACTGTTAAGATGAATACAGCCAGTGGCTGCCGGCGCAGAGCTCAGCGTGTGCAGCTGAAATGTAATAAACAAATGTTGTACCAGGGACCACGCATACTTCAGCTCTCCCAGGACAGATACCTCTGTGCCTGGCATTTTGACTCGCACGCTGAAATGATACTAGTATTTACTGTTTGCAGAGCCTTCCCATACTGGTATCTTGTAGCCGGAGCTTTTAAAATTAATTGCAATTTGAAAGCAGCCTTCTTTTTCATTTACTTGAAATCAGTGCTGTCAGCCTGGGGTTTTTAAGCTGGGTACCTTGCAGTGGGAATCTCCAAAGTGCTTAACTGTCTAAGGAACAAAATTTTCCCTTTAGGTATATGTTACTGAATTTGTTTCTGCCATGCTGAAAATATGCTTTCTCTCCTTCCAAAAATAAGCCATAAATTCAAGCATTAGCCAAGCATGCTAAAGCCACTCTTTGCAAGAGCATATTCCCCTGTTACCACTTGTTGGATTTAGTCCCTTAACTGAAGAGCTAGAGCTCTGCCCTTTGGAGCTAGAAACCTGAGGTGCAGCTCCCAGCAATGGTGCAAGAAATAAAGCAGGAAATAAGGATTAAACTTCTTGCCTAAAGTGCCTCTAGGTTGGTAGGCAGCTCTTCTCTGACCAGCTTTAGGGAAAGTCCAGTGAAAACCCATCTGCTTTGATCTGTGTCCTCGATGTTCTCCTTGGTTTTGTTGTCAGCAGGAACTGGAGCAGCCCCTCACTGTGCCAGGTGAGCTCTTTTGCAGGATTTGACATGGTCTGTAGTATTAAATCAGAGTTTTCAGTGGACCATTACTTGGAGATTTTGTTTCACAGAAAAGCTGGAGGGGTTTGAATTGCTGTATTGAGGCCACTTGCATGGCTAATAGCATAGGTTCAAATAAATCAATAATGCATTTA